AAAAAAAAAAAACTTCAATGTTTATCAATCTGAAATCTGCCAAAACAGAACTTGCTGTTAACTTTTTGTGAAATCCCTGAATCAAATCCAAATCCTCAATGATAGAAAATATTCTGAGATCAATATATTATAAATTTATAATTCATTAAACATACAATTATAGAGCTGCAGTCACAACAATCTGAAAAAAGATAGGAGAAAGGGAGTAGGTAAAACTGAATTAAATTCAAATGACACACCTACCCCTCACTTAATGTCTATAATTTATTCCTGAAAGCATTGTCACTAAGTAAAAAGCTCTAAATGAAAATCTTTTCCATTAATTTTAACATGGCACATTATATCCCAAGACCCCCCAAACAGTATTGATTGAATATTAACAATTTTATAGCTAGTAAACAACATAGATTGTACATAAAATATATTGTAAAGGTTTATTGTACCTGCCACGGAGGAAAACTTGATGGTGGTGGTTTGATGGAGAATAAAAAGGAATCATCCATTGGAAGGTAAATTCTGCTTGGTACACTATTTTCTTCCCACCAATATTCTACCCTTTTAGGTACTAATGTTTATTTTGCATTCAAACTGCACTGAAAATTAAGTTATAACACACACACACACACACACACACACACACACACACACACTCACAAACACCTTTTGGGAACTTCAAAAGACATGGAAATGGCATCTGCACATAACAGACTAGAGTCCTAGAAGATGCAACCTCTTCATTTCCCTCCTTTGATACACTTGTGCAAACAAAATAACCTAACGCATAATATGTTCAAAATGACCATCTCTGTGTAGAAAGTGTCAAGTAAACAAATATGTTTTGATCTGAGATGGTAATGTTTAAATATTGCTTTTTATTGCATACTTTTTAGTATATTTTGGAGAAAGTCTTTATACTCCAGAAGAAAAAAAGGTGATTATCCGAAAAGTGATATAACTTTTCAAGAACTATTATGCAAAAGTTATTAACTAAACAGCTTTATGGGGGAAAACTGTAAACAGTTTTGGCATTACTGATCTCAGAACTAAAACATTTTTAAGCTCATAATTAATAACAACATTCCAAGGCACTACACAGAATAAGAAATGAATTATATCAAAAATGCCTCCATTTTTCAATATTCAACTATCTAATTAAAGATGAGAAAAAAACTATTTCATTTTACAAATAAATTCTTAAAAAATAATTAGGATAGCCTCAAAAAATCCCCATTGTATTATTAAATCTAATTAGCTTATGCCTTTAAGAAACACAAAATTATCCAGTTCCAAGAGTTAATATTGATAAAGCCACAGTAATCAAGACAGTATACTGACAAAAGAATATACAAATAGATCAAAGGAACAGAGAGCCTAGAAACAGATCCTTATAAATATAGTCAACTCATGTTCAACAAAGGAGCAAAGGCAATACAATGAAGCAAAGACAGTCTTTTCAACAAATGGAGCTGGAACTCTTGGACATCCACATGCAAAGCAACGAATCTAGACACAGACTGCATATTCTTCACAAAAATTAACTTGAAATGGATCCTAGGCCTACATGAAACACATAATTATAAAATTTCGAGAGGATAACTGGGAAAATTAAGATGATCTTGGGTATAGCAGTGACTTTTAAGATACAACACAAGGTATGATCCATAAAAGTAACTGATAAGCTGAATTTTATTAAAATTAAAAACTTCTGCTCTGCAAAGAACAATGTCAAAAGAGTAAGATAAACCACAGATCGGGAGCAAATATTTGCAAAAGACACATTTGATAAAGGACTTTCTAAAATATTCAAAAAATTCTTAAAACTCAGTAAGAAAATGAACCCAATTAAAAAATGGGCAAAAAGACCTTAAGACACTTCACCAAAGATATACAGATGGCAAGTAAACGTATGAAAAGATGGTTAACATTGCATGTCATTAGAGAATTGCAATCTGAAATGAGATATAATCACATACCTATTTAAATGGTGCAAATCCAAACCACTGACATCATCAAATGCTGGCAAGGATGTGGAGCAATAGGATCTCTCATTTATTGCTGGTAGGAAGGCAAAATGGCACAACCATTTTGGGAGACATTCTGGCAGTGTCTTAGAAATCTATGCATACTTATCTCCATATGATCTAGTAGTTATGCTCCTTGGTATTTACCCAAATGAACTGAAAACTTGTATTCACACAAAAATTTGCACAAAGATGTATATAGCAGCTTTATTCACATTTGCCAAAACTTGGAAGCACCCAACATGTTCTTCAGTAGGTAAGTAGATAAACTGTGGTATATTCAGACAATGGAATATTATTTGGCACTAAAAAGTAATGAGTTATAAAGTCATGAAAGGACAGGGAGGAAACTAAATGCAAATTATTAAGTGAAAAATGTCAATCTATATACTGAATGATTCCAACTATATGACATTCTAAAAAAGGCAAAACAACTATGGAGACAATAAAAAGATTAGTGGTTGCCATATATTTGGGTAGAGGAGACGGACAAAGCATACAGAGGACTTTTAGGGCAGTCAAACTATTTCATATGGTGCTACAATGGTGGATACATGTGATTATTCATTTATCAAAACCCATAGAATGTACAACAGTGAATAAACCCTAATGTAAATTACGGACTTCGAGTGAAAACGATTTATCAATATAGGTTCATTGAATGTAACAAATAGTATGAGGAATACTGATAGTGAGGAAGGCTGTGCAAGAGCAGCAGGGGCAGAGACTATATGAAAACTCTACTCTCCCCTCAATTTTGCTGCAAACTTAAAACTGCTCTAAAAAATAAAGTCTATTTGAAAAAAGTTTTTTTAAAAAAAGATAAGACTGATAAAATCCAAACAAGGCCTGTAATTTAGTTAATAGCAGTATGCCAAAGTCTTGCTAATATACTATGGTTAAGCAAAACGTTATTGGGGAAACTGGGTGATGAATATGCACAAATTCTATTTTGCAACTTTTAAGGACTCAAAAATTATTTCAAAATTTAAAATTTTTAAAAAAGAGATAAAAATTTGTCAAGTGTGGAAAGCTATTATTTATTAAGATTTGTAAACACTTGAAGCAACTTAGCATTTTTCTGGAGGTAATGAGATTTACGTCTCTATGTAAAAAACACTTTGGAACTCCGTGTCCTATAAAATATGAGACTTAATTTCTAGTGGGCTCAGTATATACACTCCTCTAAGTTTCAAGCATAGAAGATGAGAAATTCTGAATGAGGGAATAAGTCTTATACAATTAACTTAGAAGAGCAAACTATAAAAAGCAGTACATATACCCTGATGGAAGATGATCCAATAAAGGAAACAGGATCTAAGAGATAATGCAGACAGACCACTAGGCTCAATACTCTTGTGTCTATCTAATGGTAAGCTTCTTTTCAATTCTACAGATTTAAAAAATCATTAAACATTTTTAAGGTTACTGAAAATCTCTGAATTATATCTCCACTTAGAATCAGTGTAATTTTATAAACTACTGTCCCTTTTTTATATTCATTATTTTTCTCCAAAAATAAATTTTATTCTAAAAAGATAATCATTTCAATGAATATAGCAACATTATAGTTCATGAGATTTATGCTTAGTTATTAAGCAAATATTTAGTTTAGTAAACAAACTGATGCATATCAAATCAAAACAAAAACCCATACATCATGAAATAGTTTAAATATTCATGGTGATTATAGATTTTGTGTGTGTGTGTGTGTGATTATAGATTTGAAATGCAGATTCCCTTTCAAAGATCGGGGCATCCAGACTGTTCAACCCACTAAATAATCATCTTTGAATATCATGAAACCCAAAACAAAAGATGACATTTTAAAAAGGAAAATGATAGCTTCAAAGTAAAAATGACTCTCTCCTCATTTTAAAAACAAAAAATTTTTCTAAAATATCAAGTAGAAAGGGTAAGTACCTAGAAAAAATACTTCACATCTTAACTAAGTAAACTTGAAAAGAATCTTTAATTATATACAGAACTAAAATCAATCCATGCAGATTTTTAAAAATTATAACTACCCTTTTGTCTTCTTTATTTATATTTCCTTATAGACAAAAAATGATGTTTTGAAGATACATAACATATAAAGCAGAATCATTTTTATCAGTAATTTCTCTTAAAGGAGGAAAATAAAACTTAAGGTATAACTCTACAGAAAAGCGAAGCAAACTATGAAGTGAAGAATAATCATGATGTTCTCCAAGTAGAAATGTGTAAGTATAAAACAGCAGGCTGCCTAAGCAATCCAGACAGTGGAGAAAGCAGGATGAGGTAAGAAACAACAGCTGGGACTAAACAGACTAAACTGTTAAGATCATTTATCTTTTCTTCAGGATCTCTTTTGACTTCTCATGAAGTATAAAGGTAATGAAGTGCACTCCCAGTGCAGAGTCAATAAAGAATAAAATGGCAAAACTTATCCCTCACTCTGTTCCACTAACATTTTACCTATAAATATAAGAAATGTAGGAAAACTTTACAGCTACCTCAAATGATTTAAAGACAATTATAGTTTAAATCAATCTCTTAACTATAATAGTAACATTCCATTCTAAAAAAATGGTCTGAGAAGGGAGAAAGCAGATAGCTATTTTAAGCTCCATATAAATCTTTTACTCATGTAATAACTTTCAGTTACCTTTTAAATACAGAAACATTTCCTCTTTAATCATCTAAAATCACATGCAAAAAGATGAAGCCTAGCACAGATGTAGAAAAAAAGGCAGGAAAAGGACTAAATGACTTATAAGATAGGTTATGTCATTATAAACTGGAAACAAAGACTAACCTGCTCCTCTAGAAATATGTTACAAAAACACACTAATAAATATCAGTGAAGTGATTAAATACTAAACCTGGTCTTATTGGCCACATAATTAAGGTAGAAAGGGTGGTACTTGACCAAAAGTACTTAAAATAAAACTTGAATCCTTTTTCTAGAAGATTCCTTAAAATCCACTTTCATCTTTTTGTACTAATTTACACAGGCCACAGTACCATTTACTATGTAACATTAAAGTTTCCAGTTAAGAAACTGGTCGTCAGTGAGATGGGGAGCACCACAGGGAAAAAAATGCAGGCTGCTGAAGTGGACAACAGAGGGCAAAGACAGAAGGAGGGTGGGTCCTTTAAGATATAATTTAGCCTATACACTGATTGTGGAACCATCTACATCCACTTTTGTAATGAGATAATTAAATGTCTTTGTTTAAACCAAAAAAAGAAAAAAAGAAAAGGAAAAAAAAAAGAAAGAAAGGAAGGAAGGAAGGAAGAAACTAGTTACAAATTTTTGTATAGGATTTTCCAAAAAAGTTTTTTCTTGGAACAAAAGTAGTTAAAAACTTGGATTTTCTAAAAGGAGTTGAATGAATATGGAACTACAGATACACAAAGCTGAAGTAACTGGAATCATTTCGCTGCCTGTAGGCTTCAATAAGATCACAAAGTACTCAAAAATTCTTTGACCTGAAGGGAGGAAAAATATATTAATATAATTATTTGACTAATTTGAAATATCTAATATTCATCCTCATTTAAAGGTATATAACAGTTGAAGACCCCAACTATAAAAGTAACTATCATAAAGCCATAGCATTTACTTTCAAAAGATATATTAATACTTCAGTAGTAAAAGATGAATGAGCTAAAATGTCATTATAGGAGTTATTATGTTACGATTGATAGTTCTATAACAGCTATAACCTAATTTTATAATCTTTAATTTTATAGTCTCTTTATAATACCATAGACCACTGATATATGCAGCTTTAGCTTTGGTTTAAACAACTCTAAAGGTCCTGATATGTAATAGATCTGTAATTTTTCTAAAGCACAAATCTGATTCATGTATACTCTCTGTAATGTTAATGTATGAGTAAAGGTTATATAAACAGTGAATAAACCTAGCCAACCAACATCACAGCAACAAGATTCTGTTCTCTACATATTCTAGACACACAGTAATTCTCCTGAAGAGGCAAAGATTATTGCCTCATAAAAATACCTAAAAAAGAAAGCCAACTGCTAACATTAATGAAAATAGAAATAAATAATACAAAATGATGGTTTTTAGTCAGAATACAGAAGTGTTAGATAAAATTTTTAAAAGTAGTTTTACAGGTTCATTCGGTTAAAATGATAGTTGGATATTAGTACTTCAATGGCTGACAATTTATTTTAATAGTATAAGTGAGTTCTATCCTATATTTTTAACATCATTTATAGTATGAAGAGGTCATTTGAATTGTCCAGCTATGCTTTACTTTATGTCATGGGAAAAACAACTGTATGCTATAGTAGTTATCTATAAATGTTGAGATTTTTGAAATTCTTGAGATACAGCCCTTATGAATGTCAAGTACCTATTATAGTAAATAGCAGACATTTTGTGAAAGAGAAAAGAAAAATCAAATTTCTCTCAAAAATAAAAAATATGAGGCTTCTTCTTTAGATCTTAGATCATTAATTAACATGGATATAGGAATATTTGTTATTTAATTCCCATTACCATTCTCTCTCAAGTGTTCATCAGTAGGTTTTCTCCCAGTCCCTTTATCAATATGGGCACCAATCACTTAAGAGAATATAGTCAATTCCCAAATACCTGGGGGATAGATTAACTGATTAAGACAATGGCTCAGTGATTAGCCAATGACAATTCCTTATTGACAAGGTCCCAAATAAAACTAAAAATTTTAAATCCTTTAATCTCAAGCTTTTATCTAATATAAGAATGCATGAGATCTATAGTTTACAATTTCAAATGTCTTCCACATTGAATTTCGTTGAAAAAAATAAATTTAATTTCACAATTAGTTTACTATTCAAATATCTAAAGATTGGTAGTATAGGGAAGAGGGGAAGAAGAAAAAGCAGATAAGCAGGTGAGCAATGTTAATGTGATTATCTCTATATTACAGAAAAAGGATCTAAAGGATAAAGAAGCTCTTTATTTAAGCTAAGGCCAGAAAGCTAGAATTTGAAGTTAAGATTAGAATGTAAACAGGCTAAATCCTTTTAAAGCTCTTAACATCCCTTAATGCAACTTTATGTAATCTTTTGTTAGAAAATCATCTTCTCACAAGTTAGAATACTTTTTTAGACAAGACAAAACAAATAATAGTTTATAGCTTATAAAGTGTATAAATCTACCCTTTCAACCAGACTGTCATGTTTGTCTTTAAAGTCTTCATTAACATCCAGTGTTAAGATAGGCACCTCTTGTAGATAATCAAAGTTGGTTCTGTTTAAAGAGAGATGAACAAAATTAGAAAAAGCAATAAATAAAAGAGAAACACTAAAAACTCATTATTATATCATTACTGAAAAATCAAAATGTTGTCAATAATTTGTTCAAGAAGGCCAATCTGAGGCTCAGAAGTTGTCCAAAGTCACACACTAATAAGAGACTGGTTTGAACCAAGATCTGACTAGTAGCAAACTCCATACTCAACAACTATGCTATACTACCTCCCAACTCTTGATCTAAGAAACGAAATTGAAACATCTTATCTGAAAATACTCTCTGAGTACCTAAATAATATACAGAGATTTCCTACTTTATCACTTAATGTGAAATTCCATATATGACACTGTCAATACCACTGGGGCAGGTTAGCTATAAAAAATTTAAGGAAATCGATCTCATTGGAATACAAAAATGAAAATTCACACCTAATTCTGGGAGATGCTACATACTAATAAATAAAATGGGTAAAAATAAAAAATTGTATGTGCTGTACATTTTTTGATTAAAATTTGATAAAGGTTGATAAAATTTGATTTAAAAATGAGTAGTAAATAAGAATAAGGAAGTCTTACTTCAGTGTTCTATGCAGGAGCCAGCTTTCATGCTTAGAGTGAAGCTTCTCTAAATATTCAAGAGGAATCCCTTGTTCTTCGTTTCTTCCCCGTAAATATATTCTACTCAAGCATTTCTACAAGCAAGCAATAAAAAGGGAGGTGGGGGGAGGAACAATTATTTTTGTATGCTGCCATTAAAATTTTCGCTCTAGTGTCTCTTTAGTTATGGGGCCAAAATCTCTATTTATTCCTTATAGAAAGTTAAAATAGTTCATTTTTCCCTCCTGGTTCTTTTCAACCAGTTGATGGCTCTAAACCGAGTAGTACTTGAAAGGAAGTCATAATAAGTCTATTAACTCTGGGCATCCATAATTGAAATATTCCATCTGAAATAAGTTTGGTAAAAAAAAAAAAAGTTCACCATAAAACTGTGCTTCTAAGTTTACTATAAATCCTCTTTTTAGATAATTAAATGATCCTCTGTTCAAACTACATCATAATTGATATTAATGAAAGTTTTTTGTTAGACTTTAAGATACTGACTTTCATGAATGTTTCTAACAGAAATAAATTATTAGTATTCTTTATGTTCTTTCATCTATGCATTTACTATTTTTATAATTAAAAACAAAAAATTATTTTCAAAAATATAAAAGTAAATTTCAAAGTTATTATTGTTAAATTCTGGCTTACTTGCTATTAGAAGATAAATAATATCATCACTTGAAGTCAGAAACCTAGTTTCTTTGAAAATTCAGCTTCAATACAACACTATATTCTTTCAGGCTAGAAGTCATAACACAGTCATCAGAGCCTATTTTGTGATTTAGGGAAGAAATAGAAATAAAAAAGAAAAAAATGGAAATGGCAAGCACCAAAACCAAATTTCTTAATATACGTAAGCTCTCATTCAGGTTAGTTTTATGAAAGGTATACACTTGGTCTTCCTGGGTTCACTATATAATTTCATATGTAAACAACAGCTATGTTACAACCTATCATGTAAAGCAGGGATCCCCAACTCCCAGGCCACGGATTGGTACTAACCAGTCCATGGCCTGTTAGGAACTGGGCCGTACAGCAGGAGGTGAGCGGCAGGCATGGTAGCGAAGCCTCATTTCTATTTGCAGCCATTCCCCAGTGCTAGCATCTCAGCTCCACCTCAGATCATCCGGCATTAGATTCTCATAGGAGCATTAGTTCCTGGTGCCAAAAAAGTTGGGGACCACTGATATAAGGCACATTTTCAGGTAAGATCCCTTAACTGAAAACGCCAAGAGTCTGCTAAGTCTCTTCTAAATCGTAGCTGCTATCATCCACCCATTCAAAGTCAAAACCATAAAAAATGTCTTGAAATGAACCTCCTGCCAACTTTGCCATTCATTCAACAAATATTTACTGAGCTCCTACTATGTACCCAGGCCTTCTTCTAGGCACTGGAAATTCAACAGTAATTAAAATACCCAAAGTCCCACCATGAAGCCTATAGTCTAAGAGTTGCTTAAATAAGTTTCTTCATCTAGCTGTAATAGATAAGAGATCTTGCAAAAGAAGAAATAATGAAGAATAGAACTGCGGAAGAACAGAGAAGAGCCTAAAAGAGCAATTTGCCAAATCTGGGCTTCTAGTTTACTGAGAAAACAGAATGCTTTTATTTAGACAGTTATGAGTTTCTAATTTGGAGGTAGGGGAGTGGGTGGGGAGTGGAGTTAAACTAAATTGCCTTTACTCCATACCACTGAAAGGATTTCTAAATATTACTTTAAATTTTCATTGGAACAAACAAATATTTAAGGAGTCTCACCTCTGGAGTGGCTCGAAGATAAATGATTCCATCCAGTTCAAGGCTTTGGCCAAACTGGTTATTCAACCAGTCATGCCAGTCTTGATAAATGGTCCACTCTGTTTCATTCATGCAGTCAGATTCATACAAGTTGGATGCAAAAATATACCTGCAAGACAGTCTACATCAACAAATAAATCCTTTCCAAAAAGCACAGATTAATAGAAAAGAGAAAATGATGTTAAATGGACATGGAATATTCTCCTAAAACCCATGGGAGATAATGCCTTAGACAGCAGATAAAAACGATAAGAGTACCCCCAACTACAGGAAATACGTTCTTCGACAGTAGTTCTTAAACATGTGGTGTTAGGGTCCCTGGTAGTCCCCAAGACCCTTCTGGTGGTTCTGTGAGAGGCCAGATTACTTTATATACTCTACTTCAACCAGAAGAACATACTACAACGGATTGAATATAGAAGCATAAATGGGAATCCAGCTATCTTTTATTAAGTCAGAAATAGAGATTCACAAAAGATGTAAAATAATGCTACTCTTCTCACAGATTTTGTTTTGAAAAAATATAATTTTCACTGATGTTATTTATAATAATATGTAATGGGTTTATTATTACTAATTTTAAGTAAATGTTTTTTTCTATTTCTCTATCTTAATTTCTAATAACATAAATATCAATAAAAAACAAAGTTCTTTGGGCTCCTTGATAATTATTAAAAATGGAAAGGGGTCCTGAAACCAAAAGTTTGAGAACCTCTGTTCTGAGCTAACTCTATACGTTAAAAAAATCTTTTTATAAGCAGGGTAAATCTAAGGAACTCTGAGAGATTTCTGATCTCCTTGCTCCCAGTGAGTCTAAAATATAGATTCAGATTTAACCAGAGGAGATTTTTATGAGCGTTGGAGAAAAAAAAACTCTCTGTAAATTTGAATGAGATGGCCACCATGTTCCCGACAGTTTCCATGGAATCTAGGGATTGTAAACGCTAGAACTGCCCTAATGCCCTTAGTACCAAAGTGCTGAAGGTATTAAATGTCATTTTCCATTTCAAATTCAGCCTCTATTACTTTGATTCCCAGGAAACAGAAAAAGAAGTATAGTTCTAAGCCAGGGTTCCCAACAGATAAGTACAAGTCAATTTTACATACCTGTCACTATACACAGATCTTTCAAAAAATAATACAGGTTTCTCTGCATCTTTGAGCTTGCCATTGAGAGAGGCAAGCTGAGATCGTATTCGGCTGAGGCAGGCATATGACTGGAAGGTATAAGACCATCGTTCAGGTTTCTCATACATCATCTGAAGAACATTCCCACCACTTTTCTGAGATGTTGTCAGTTCCTATTTTGAATATGAATAAACAAAAAGCAAAGTTAATGATCAATAGGATTATTTTGAATTTTTAAAGAGAAGTTGGATAAATAAATGTATCATGATTAGCAAAACCAAAATGAGTAAGTCCTTTTCTTCCTGTTCTTTCCCACTATATTTTTCAGGCCGTCTAAGATCTGGAAGAATCTGAAAAGCTAGTTTAAACACCAATTCCTCAGATCTTTTTTATAAGAAGTCACAAATAGCCTATGGCAGAAATTATTTGTTTGGTCCAAATGGGACTTTAAAAAAAATTTTGAATTAGTTGTCAATTTTTAAAAGCTAGATAATTTCACTTATCTAGATTTGTATCTTCTTTTTAAAAATGAGAAAGCCAAGCAATACTGGGCCTGTATTGCCTCTTCATAAAAATCAGCTAGAGCCAAGTCATACAAGCTTCCATTAGGTGGGACATATGCTCTCTATTTCATTAGTCCCATCATTCCCTGCTGATTCTCACAACAGGCCTGATTTGCTTAGATGCCTGGACCCATTCAGCATTTAAATCTATGACCTTAACCTTTTAAGAAAACAGAATAGATCCTCTCTGAAATTTTGATTCAATAATCATTCTTAGAATCAGTATTTTCAGTGTTATGAGAAAAAAAATGTAAAATAAAAAATCAAGTAAAATCTCTATAATCTTACATCTAAATTGAAAATAGCATCAAGAACTCATGAATTATTTTACTTTCCATAAAATACGTTTTCCTAGCTCTGTCCATCAAAAGGTATATAAACAATGATAATACTATAAAAATAAACATAAATGCCACCCAGATTATGATCTCTAAATATCATTTCCCACCAAAGGAATTAGGGTCACCATACCTGACTCCAGGTATGAGGAAGGAAATGTACAAGATGTGCTTAACATATCTTGTTTAGGGAAACGAACTATCACAGACTACTGAGGTTGTGCCAAGGGCAAGGGAGCCAACACAAAGGGACTTCCACTGGTCAAAAGAAATAAGTGGAAGGTGAAAATCCATAAATTCATAATACTAAAGAAAACCGGAAAACAAACAAACAAAAAAAACCCCGACTCTCTAATCATAGTACGAGGTTGCTAGGGCACCAATTAATTATTCTGAAAATTTGTAAGAGAAAAAAAATCAAACATTTTATTCTGGCCCTTTCTGTACAAATGTTCTTGCAATACCTAATGATACATTGGATTGGGGCACAATTAGCAATTGATGCTAAAATCTTCAGAGAAAAGCTGAAAGGGAATTTTATAATATATGAATTAGGCTGACAAAACCTGAACAGACTGATCAATTTTAACATCACAGAAGACATCTTCCTGATGGAATATGAAGAAAATACATGCATCACCTTAGAAGTCTTGCCGAAAATGAACTGAAATTAATCTAATCAAGCCTATAAAGAACTAACTACAAATTTATAGAAAATATAGGAACTTCAGAAACATGTTAAATTATACCACAGTGATGCCTCAGTCAAAACCAGAATGAGATACATTGTACGGGGACAAATGAACCAGTTTCTTCAATTATTATAGTGCAAAGAAAAAAAAGAGAATGACCAATAGATTAAAATTTAAAAGACATATTAACCAAATATAATGTATAAACCTTGTTTGACTCTTATTTTCAACAAACTGTAAAAAACTATATGAGACAACAGGGAAATATGAACATAGACTGGACGTGATGATGCAAAAAAATTACTTTTGATGCTATTTTTTAAAATAATCTTTATATCTAGAGTTCTTCTTACTGAACCTTTAATTTCTATCAATGAAGTAATATGTTATTTAGACTAAAGTGCAGTATGGGAACCCCCAGGGAGTCCCTGAGATCTTGGCAGGGAATCTACAAGGGAAAAACAAAAAACAAAAAAAAACCTATTTTCATAATAAACATACCCTTTTCCATTCTCATTCTCTCATGAATGTATAGTTGTTTCCCAAAGACTACATAACATGTATATGGCAGTAGTTCAAATACAGAAGCAGATATGAAAATTCAGCTTTTTCTATTAAGTCATACATTAAAGAGATTTAGTCACTAATTTTTTTGTTTAGAAAAGTTATTTTTTATAAAAATGTTATGTTAACATGTAACAGATTTATTACTGTGATTTTTAAATGAATTAGCTAATAAATTTTTAAGTGTTTCAAGTTAAATTTCTAATACAGTAAATATTGATAGATCTAACTGGCATAAAAGCTCTTTTGTTCCTCAAGCATAGACAATATAATAAGCTGTTCAGTTAAATAAATTAATATTAGCTTTCAAATGATGGTGTCTCATGTCTTAAAATAATTAAGAATTCACAGGATTAATCTATTCGATATGATGCTATTTACCTCCTAAAAATTTCACATATACAATACCTGCTTCAAATATCTTTATAAATAAATATAATATAGATATTCTGATAAACCTAAATAATTAATTTAGAAAAATACCCAATTAAAATCCTAATTTGAAGTATTATAAAAATGAAACCTAATCAATATAATCAGTGAATGTGAAAATTACTTCTTAAAGTTATTTCAAACTACAGAGCTCTCTGGAGAAAATAAAGTTGAACCAACTTCTTGACAAGTGATTTAAATGGTGAATTTATATAAACCATCTTCTCTGTGAATGAGAAAGAAGGCAAAAACAGATTGAAAAGGGTAACTAAAATAAACGAGAGGTTGGCATGACTAGCTATAATTAAAAATGATGTGGACCAAGTGATGTGGACTAATATGAACATCAACTAAAGGTAGAAAAAGGAAAATTAGGATTATAGCTTAAACCAGAGTTCAAAACTGTTAAATTCATGTTGATAAATGTAGATGTACCCTTCGTATAACACTAACCTTTTGAGGAAAAATAATCAGACATTCCACATAAAACTCTTTGATCTTAATTGCAGATCAAATACTGGATAAAATTAGGCATGATTTGACCTAACAGATAAAATTCTTATGTTTAAAAATTGTTTGCTCAGTCTCCAAATGGAATTACTTTACTTCTACTCAAGCTTTTAACAGAGATAGGTATGAATACAGAGTTCTGTAACTATAATTTAAAAAATTCTTCTAAACTACTTTCTCCTACCTCTGAAAGCAATAAAATTATTTACTGCTCTTATGAAATATCGCACGCAAAAAATAATATGTTTCACAGCTTTGTTCAGATTTCTAGCCTAGCACCTACTCTAGACAAAGCACTATGTACTTAATTATTTAAGTAAGCAAGGTCCTCCTGGGTATCCCCCAGTTTACCTTTCATATTTAAAAACTCCTGAGTTACCTAGGCTGTAACTATTTGCTAATCTCTCTCCAACCACAGCCTCCACTAAAATATTTTACATAGCCAATTTCTTGTTAGATGTTTTTCAAAGAGGCTTGGTATTCTAAATGAATCTCTAATTTGTGATATATATAGAAAATAATTTTGAGCATCCAGGCTTTCCAAATCAAATAAGGGGTGAACAGAAAGAAGCCACTGAAATTTCTTCCTTTTTGTGACAGTATTGTCATTCTTTTTATATTAAACTTGATTATATTTGATAGAATATATTAGAATACTTTTGATATTAGAGTTGTCAGATTAAGAAAAAACAAAACACAGGACCTCCAGTTAAATCTGAATTTCAGTTAAACAACAAATAATTCTTTAGTATATCTCTCAAATATTGTATATATTTTAACTGGCAGCCCTATTTTATTTATCTTATTAATGTTTTTAATACAATGCATTTTAATTTTCATTTTTTATTTAATTCAAGCTTGGTTTATCCTATTATCATTCCTATTTTACTGATAAGAAAAACAAAGTTTAGAAAAATTAAAGTGCTTGCTAGGTTACATAGCTAACTAGTAGCAGAAGTAGTGAAGAGGAACTTTCACTCAAAAGGCTAATCAGCTCCTTCTGCTTCTGTAGATATGCTCACTGGATAGGTCGTACTTGAAATTAACTAGGTTCATCTTCCCTTTTGCTTGTTCAAAGCAACAAATGTAACTGCCTGTACCTCCAAGCAACTCCCCAGCTTTGTAATTACCTGCAACCCACAGCAGCTCCGATTTGCAACTCTGTAACTACCTGCAACCCATAGCAACTCCTGCACTTTGCAACCATGTGAGGACAAATTAACCAATCAGCCCATGCCAAATAAATTCTACATAAGGAATGTTGCAACTGAGCCCAGATCTTCAGAGCTAGCTCCTCTGGGACTGCCAGCAAATAAAGTGAGTTCTCTAACTCTCCAAGGGCTGCTTGGTTTCTCATCAGTCTAATTTTTACAACTTTTCTGCAACATTTCAGCTTGTAAGTACTCAGATTATAGAATATTATTCCAACAGCATGTGATGTAACTGAATTTTACCTACATATGATTCTTTTTCATAGTTCAGATCCATTTTAGGAAGGAAAACAAAACCGTTCTCAATTTTATCTATATAAAAGAGGACTATCCCCACATACCTTGGGATAGGTCGGTCACTCTCACTTCCTAATATTCCCTCTCACTAAATTCCAGTGACCTAACAGTAATCCTTACTACACATGCCCAATCATACCAATAAACCTAATGCTTCCGTTTACAGGAACACATATCCCATTATTCTTAGTCCAGCTACAGTTGCTTCAGCAAAAAGAGCTCTCTTTTCTTCAGAGCCCAGAGAAATAGAAGGTAAAACATGTGTTTGTTGACAAGCCCTCCCTTTGTGGTCCAGGAATGATCATTTCTCTGTCAGAAAACAAAGGCCGAGCTCTGCCCTAACAGGTAACTATCTTGAATATTATGTTTTTTAGAAGATGACAGTTTTATCTATCACCTGCATTGGAGAGTCAAAGATTTATCAGACAAAAGGAAGAAATAGGGAGCTGTCTTCATAGGTCCATACGGTAGGCAAGGGATGCTTCATCAGACTTGTGTGTAAAGTCAAGCTACATAAAGGTTCCATGTAAAGTTGTATAAAGTCTTTTGATCATGTGATATGATTG